TGAGACACTGTCTCCAATCAATCGGAATCCAAACAACAAAAGATAATACAACTGAAAGAAGTCCGTACAAAACATAGCAAGAGGGCTTATGAGATTGCTGTCACCTGGGTTACATGAGGGTTAGACATATAGTGTAGAAGATGGAGAAAATTCCAAGACATGGGGCAAAGGTAGGTGTAGCATCGTAAATTGTATGCTCTTTAAAACTCTATGTATGCATAAGTTTATGTTACATGTATTGAGAAAGTCTTACGCATTCATACCAAATAAACAAGGATGACTCTAAGGTAGGAAGTAAGAAAGTGGTAGGAAAGAACTGTTTTCCTCTGTGTGTTCAACACACTTGAGTTTTTATAGAAATTCGTGTTTTGCTTAGAAATTGAATCAGGAGCTTGGCAGTGACACTCACTTATATAATCTATCACTCAGTAGGGTTAAGTCGGAAGATTATTTGTGTGGGACAGGCTTGAGACACAGTAACTTCCAGGCCAGCCTGGGCTATCTAATAAGACTCTGACTCAAATATAACAAAATATATTTAAACATCTAATTGCATTGTAAAAGTGAATTAGAGAAATGGTAGCAGTTCTGCAATAGAAAATTGCTGAGAGATGTGCAGTGGTCTAATTTAAGAGGAACATTCATGAGGATTTTATAGTTTATGGTTCTGGGGTGACTTATGTCATTAGTTCTTTCAGTTGTCCAGGTTAAGATTCCAAAATGCAGGAATGATGACTAGAAGGAGGAGATTTGACAAAAATTTAAGCGTTCAGGAAGAGAGTAGGTAAAACTGAGCTAACTCACACAGGAAGACAAGTAGATGAGTGGTGTGGAGAATGAGGTAGGCTGCTGTGTCGATCTATGAGAAGTTCTCATTGAGAGTGCCTCGCTGGTGCTTTTCAAGAACGGACTGTGCCCCGAGAGTCTCTTGCATTTACATTTTAAATCATTTTTGTTGATAGTTCTGATGGTCAAAGGCAGGAGCTTAAGTGTGGAATCCCAGGGACCACTGATGTGTAGGGAGCTAACATAGCACCTGGAGTCAAAGAGATGCTCTTTTCTGGAGGAGCTGCATCCCTCATTCCAAGGACAATGATATGAATGGCCAGTAGTGTCATATTCCATAAATTTGTCAGGACACAAAACATGGAATGGTAGGGGGTAGCATTAAGATTTAGGAGACTGGGTTATGGTTGAGAGCCCCCTAGTGGAAGGGAGTGGGTGTTTAAGCTCCTGGAAGCAGCCAATACAGCTGAAATTCGGAAGGTAATGTGAATGGGACCTCAAGACTGTTTCCACCTCCTTTGGATGTAATAAGTTATATGTAAATTTGTCTTTACTTCTGCCCCACCAGAGGTAGAAAAGAGGATTTTGAAGAGCTGAAACTTTTACAGAGATTTTCTTCTACAGCAGGAAGTGTCAGGGAATTTTTCTCCCAAGGGAAGTAGCAGAGCTGACAGGCAGTGAAGAGAAGCTGCTGGGACCTGAATGCCAAGTCCCACCGAGCTTTCAAACCAGCCCTTGAGAAAAGTCATTTCCAAGTGTGACCTTTGCTGTTTAGCCGTCTGTTTGCAGTGCCCCTTCTGGAAATGGCTGACTGTACTGGTTTATTTCTTGCATTGTTGTCTGAGTCTGAGGTGGGTCAGGAGGACAGCTTGTATTACTTGCCCCTCCCTTTGTTTTATTAAATTCATAATTACAAAGAGAGAAACTTGTGTGACATGTTTTTAAGTCGGTCAATTGCAGACAGAGGGCAAAAGTGGCCTTTTTATAAGTCTTCATTCACTTTAATTACAGTATTTCTAAAAGAATCAACAAGAAACTATAATATTCAGTGTCAAATTACAGAAATTGCAACATTTATAGAAAGATTAAGGAAGCTGTAGAAGTAGAAATGTAGGAAAGTTTACAATTTTAGATTTATAGTGTGTGCTTGTAAGCTTTTGATTATATAGATATAAATGTGGTACATAACATATAAGATTGTATTTTCATAAAAGTATGTACTTCCTGATTTGTATCAAGTGTATATTACATATTAATATATATTCTATCTACTTTTTAAATTTCAGAAATTTGTGGGGATCTTTTTAAAATTTAAGTATGTTCAGTAGGTGACAGCTTGATGACTTTTATGAAGTACAGGCACCTACCTTCCACATCAGTAAAGAGCATCACTGGCTGCCACATAAACTTTCATTCTCAACCTTTCTTTTCCTACATGGGTACCAGTATTTGCATCCCTATAGATAGTGTAGTGTATGGTTTTTGTGCCTGGTGTTTGGGAAGCAGCTTTGTTTCTGTGAGGTCTGCCCACATGGGTACATATACTAGTAGTTTATCCTTTTCCTGTGCTATGGCAGTCTGAAGTAGAGGACACAGATATCATGGTATTTGCATTCTGCAGCTGATGGCTGTTCAGCTTTTGAACCATGGGCTGCTATGTGTAATGTTCATTTTTGAGGCTTCTGGTGCATGTCTTTTGAGTATGTTTGTGCTGGATAAGTACTCATTTCTATGGGCTGTATGTCCAGAATTTACCTTTTGTGGAAATTGTCAATTTGTTTTTGAAAATAGCTCTGCCATATATGATTCCCATGGCTGTACTAACACTAAGTATAATGGCTTATTGTTGCTAAGTTAGTTTTGATTTTTGATTTTTTTTTTGTAGCTTTTAAAAAACATTAAATTTAGCCGGGCAATGGTGGCGCACACTTTTAATCCCAGCACTCGGGAGACAGAGGGAGACGGATCTCTGTGAGTTCAAGGCCAGCCTGGTCTACAAGAGCTAGTTCCAGGACAGGCTCCAAAACTACAGAGAAACCCTGTCTCAAAAAAACACCAAAAAAGAAAAGAAAAAAATTTAAAAACATGGGAATATTTTGTAATGAAAATAAGTATATTGTTACTGTTATCATTTTGATGGGCTATTGCCACCTTTGCCACAGCATGAACAACTAGTTCTCCCACCTTGTGAGCTCTTTGGTTAATTCTGTGTGTGTTCTAATGCGAGGAAAATTTAATATTGGAGCAAGCTAACAGATCTCATACTTTTTCTTAACAATTTTTTTAACTTCCCTGTTTTTTACCTATGTGACAACAGCAGGAAATCCATTTGAATGGTTTTATTTGGTTGGCAAGAAAATGGATTTTGATTTCATAGAGACAGGGTTTCTCTGTGTAGCGCTGGTTGTCTTGGAACTCACTCCATAGAGCAGACTGGCCTCGAGCTTACAGAATTCTGTCTGCCTCTGCCTCCCAAGTGCTGGGGTTAAAGGCATATGCCACTACTGCCCAGCCATTTTCTTCATGCTTATTTTAAGAGTAGTATAAAAAAGATACCATGGTGCCTGAAGCTAGATTTTGCTGAAAATATTGCCAGACACTGCTAATTTAATTGTCCAGAATAATAACAGCACTAGCTGCCAGAACAGACATTGCATGGACTCTCTACCACAGGGATCCATCTCTGGGGATTACTTGGGAGCATTTACAAAAAGAATCTTGTCCTTTGGAAGAGAAAGATGGTAGATGAGTGAGATGACTCTTTGGGTGAAGGTACTTGATACCAAGCCCGACAACCCCCGTGTTGTTCAGTCCTGAAACCCCATGTTGTCCTCTGACCTTGTGCACTGGACACACCTACACACAAATGTTTAGATGAAAAGTAAAAGTTTTTAGTCAGAGAACTTTCCTTCATAATGTTCCTTGTAGCTTCTCCTCCCATGTTCTCAATAGTTATCTTCTAACAGGAGTTATTACGTGGTCTGAAAAATCCTGAGGTCTTGCTTTTAGTTAACATTTGCTAATGTCATGGTAGCCCTGCATCCTCTTGAACACCATAGCTTTAGACTCCTGTTGGCACAGTGGTGTTTGGCGATGTCCCGTTGCCACAGTAGGTATTTTAACCCTTTGGAGCAATGGTTCTCAACCTTCCTAATACTGTGACCCTTTAATACAGTTCCTTATATTGTGGTGACCCCCCAACCATAAAATTATTTCATTGCTACTTCATAACTGTAATTTTGCTACCATTGTGAATCATGAAATATCTGAAGCAGGATATTGGGAGTTGCAACTTATAGGTTGAAAACCACTGCTTTGGAGACTTTGAGAAATTTCAGACTCTAACATAGCCAGATGATCTTTTGGAAATGCCTCCTTCCTTCCTTCCTTCCTTCCTTCCTTCCTTCCTTCCTTCCTTTCTTTCTAGATTTATCTGATTTTTGCCAGTTGTATATTGGGTTTTTAAGAATATAGTGACCAGAATGAGTGTGTGATTCTTGAATGTTTTGGAACATTCTTTTGACTTTCATATGTGCAAATCATCCACCTCTCTAATCGCTGACAAGAAGCTCTTAGCAATAGCAGAGAACTACTGTTGGGTAGTTTGTTGTTTGAAGGAAAGTCATCTGGAAACTGCTTTTAGCTACTGAACTTTCTTGAGAGGTCACGCTGTAACCTAAGTCCACAAGTCTGCCAATTCTTGCTCCTCTCTACTAATGGAGATGGGTCTAAGATACTTCAGTGATTTAGTAAGTAGCCCAAAAGCTTATTGAAGACAGTGTGTTCAATGACCTTTCCCTTCCTAGCCTCTAAATCTTTTTATTAGTGTCAATAATGAGAAATAAAACTTTGCTGACTAGATCTTTCTCTCTCACAGTATCTGCTAGAGTATATCATTCTTAGACAGATGTAGAATGTAAATCTGACAAGTAGTGTTACTTGGGCATCATCTTGATATCTCATGGTTACGGACTCAGTTTGCAGATTAATTCTAGAAGATATTTTAAAGTCTTTGTTGACATAATGTTTGACTTATAGATAATTTCTGCGTACGTCCTTGTTGTGGTGGTCAGGGTAGTGTTAAGGAGTTTCCTCAAGTTGTCACTTCTTTACACAGTCATGTAGAATCACCACTGGGGAACTAAAACTATCAGAGCCCTCATTGACTTGACTGATTCCAGAGCCCCATCAAAAGCTGTTTTCTTTCCCTGTAGGTATCAGTCAGAGCCGGATCTCTCATTGGCTGTTGCAGCAGGGGTCAGACCTGAGTGAACAGAAGAAAAGAGCATTTTACCGATGGTATCAACTTGAGAAGACAAACCCTGGTAAGTATTTCTTTTTATTTATGTGCCTAAATGAAAAGCATCTAATTGTTTCATTGACTCCATGTGCTAATTTGTCTAGAGAAACTGTTTCATGCTTTAGTGTCTTTCTTTATGTGAGTAGGCAATAAAACCTAAACCGTGGTTGTCATTGTGTTTAGGTTTCTGTTTCCTAGGCCACTTCACCTCCTCCTCTCAGCCACCTCTTGATTTCCCGATTAGGAGATTTTCTGTGCACAGTTTGGAAGAATGGTCATGGTATCAGTGGCTGGCTCTCTTTTCAGCTGTGGATACACAAATAAAATTTACCGTTTTTCAAATTTTGGAAAAACATTATGTTAATTGGTGTGTATTTAATATTATTATTGAGTTCATTCTTTACCATTACTAATGGTTTTGTGTCTTTAATGCCTGTGACCTGGGTAATAAATACACTGTGGAATTTTAAGGAAAAGCTGTTCACATAACTCCCAGGAACAGCACTAGACTGGAAAATAGGATGAAATCTTAAGGGTAAAGACCATGAAAGTCTTGTTGTCTGGAGTTGCCAAGAATAGGCAACATTTAATCCCAAGATACTTTTAACAAGTGATCAAGAAAAATATGATGTCACGGGAGTGGCTGTCTTGGGCTGCATGTTGCAAAGGTGATGATGGTGAGCCTCATCTCAAGTACACTGTTGCCATTGAGACGCCTTCTACAGTTCTCTTCATAAAGCCCTCAGGCACGCCAGGCCAGGTGTTGCTTTCAGCAGTACTAGCCCTGAGCTGCAGATACAGAGCACTGCATGGAAGTGACTTTTAGGGTGTGTATACGGTAAGTTTTGTTAGTTTTTCTCAACAATTACATTCTCAACCCAAAATGCCCTGGTAAGATGAAGCAAAACAGAAAGTTTCAATCTATACAAAGAATTTCTAGAATCTATTCTCCCCCATTTTCTCTTTTGAAGTGTTTCAGATATACATTTTAAAAGATCAGCAAGGTATTTAGTTACCTTATTGGATACAAAAATTATGAGCATTTTGCTATTTGCCAATAATTTTTAAGATTTATTTGTGTGTCATGTTCTAATAATCAGGGTAGTTTCCTATAAAAACTACAATCTATTTATTATTGTACCTAATAAAATGAATATTTCCACAATTGTTTAGTCTTTTATCGTATCTCTCTGTTACAAAAGTGTCTTGTATAGCTTAATACCTGTTTTCTCCCTCTTTGTCGTTTAATAAGCAGTTTCAGTTTTAGGTCAGCAAATTAGGATGCTTCTCTATCTTCTTAAATTGCCTAAACTTTTTATTTTTTAATGATATAAACTTTTCGGGGGGGGGGTGCTTTTCAAGACAGGGTTTCTCTGTGTATCCTTGGTTGTTCTGGAACTTGTTCTGTAGACTAGGCTGACCTCCAGCTCACAGAGATCCTAGGGCTGGGATTAAAGGTGTGCACCACCACTGCCTGGCTAAAGTAGTCTTTGATTTTGTTTAAAGGATGATATTTCTTCTTCTGTGGGTACTTTAGAGTTGCTGTTATCTCTAAATTCAGTGTTGCATTTAAGATGGGTTCTCTTCTCTCTGCCCATTAAATAGTTGCTTTGAGTACCTCACATTCATCTTTGCAAGACACTGGAATCATCCGACTAAGAACTGGTTAAATTCTCTATAGGATAACATCGTAGGACTGTATAGTTATTTTTAGTGTGTTTTGTTTGAATTATATTTGCATGCAGTGAAATAGCATTCAGAGGTTAAAAATGTAAGATATGAAACAATATTATATGTATTCAAAGAATATGCACACACACAGGCAGTTTAGATGTCTGTTAGGTATGGAACTTGTCGGGAATTCTCACTTAGGAATTGATAAAATGAGTTCTGAAGAGGGGCACTGGTAATAAGGGGAGAAGTAGAAAGACATATTTATATACCCTCTGGGTCTTTGTTTATTTTGCAATGCTTGGGATTGAACCCAGGGCCTTGTGCATGCAAGGCAGGCATTTACCATTGAACTCTGACCCTTCTTTGACTTTCTGAATTTTAGACCATGTAGTCTGTGTTTGGAAAATGCATATAATGTGTAATGGAAGGAGGGAGGGAAAAAGAGATGTGAAAATCAATTTGTTTACATTACAGTAACAAGAGAAGAGCTCAGTTCCTGAGATGTGGTCCCACAGTTTATCTGAAGCAGTTTAGAGAAAATAAGCTATAGGCAGGCTTATTAGCAGATGGTTGCTGTTACCACGCTCTATCCTCGGCCCAGCAGACAGGTCATCAGGAGAAATGTAACTAGCAATATGTTCTCACATGCATTCTGAGAAGAATGTAAAATTAAGGCAAACCACAAAATGAAAAGCTGACTTTTCTTTTCTCTGGTACTGAACTATCTGACAAACAAACAGCTGTATTTGTAGATTCTTCGCCTACTCTTGGCCTTAACTGCTCTTCTGGCTGCATTCCTCCAGTGAAGTTCTCTTTTCAACCTCCTATCGATTTGGGTTTTTTTTTTCTTTTTTTAAATTTTTTTTGTTGATTTAATTGAGTTATACATTTTTCTCTGCTCCCCTTCCTTCCTCCCCCTTCTACCCTCTCCCATAATCCCCCTGCTCCCAATTTACTCAGGATATCTTGTCTTTTTCTACTTCCCATGTAGATTGGATCCATGCATATCTCTCTTAGGGTCCTCATTGTTATCTAGGTTCTCTGGGATTGTGAATTGTAGACTGGTTTCCTTTTCTTTTAGACAAAAGCCACTTATCTGTGAGTACATATGATATTTGTCTTTCCATTTGGATTTTTTATAAGGACTCTTTTTACAAAGTTCTTTTTACATGAACTCAGCAAGGAAAAAATAGAGTTATTTTGACTGATAATCCAATATCGATAGATACAATGTAATAATCAGATAAATAGACCCATAATCAGAATTTCCTAGAACATTCTAAAGCCTGCTAAGACTTCTCAATAAAGCAAATTAATGGAAACTAATCACATTCACTTTATATTGTTTCTTATAACAACATTTACAAGAAAATGCCTGTTTTCTTAAAGAACGGAGTTTAAATTCAGTGTGTTTGCTGTGAGAAAAATTCCTTTATTCAAATTAGGTCCATAGTCTTCTCTTGCCTGAATCAACCATTGCTATGGCAGGCAGGGTTTGTGGGACACCTGCAGGCTTGAGATACTGATCCTTCAGACTTCACATTAAACAGTCTGATGGGATGCTTGTGCATAACATGAAGTCCATGTTAGATCAGAAGAAAACGCCCATTCTGCACATGTAGCACGCCAGAGCTCCAGGAAATGTGTGTATGACATGGGAGAAGATGAGAAAGACTTGGGAGAACCCATTTTCCTTTTCATTGATGGAGTACTAATGACCTTCTTCTACTAGCTGATTAACAGGGTCTCGTCCAATTCTAATCTGGTACACAAGATAATCATATCTACAGGTGAATATTCACAGAAACCTTAAAATCTAATAGTAGATTATAAAAGTGGTTTTTGTAAGCAGAAAACTGCTTGTTCATTCCTGGCTGCTCAGACCCGAATAATCACACAGAAACTATAATAATTTCACTGTTTGGCCTATTAGCTCAGGCTTCTTACTGGCTAGCTCTTACATCTTAAATTAACCCATTTTTGTTATTTTATATTTTACCTCAAGGCCTGTGGTTTGTTACCTCTTACTTCTTGGGCAGCTCCATGGCGTCTGCCTCCTTCAGCAGCTACATGGCATCTCTCTGACTCTACCTACTCTTTGTATCCCTTCCAGCCTGGCTATATTTTGCCCTGCCATAGACCAAAGCAGCTTTATTCATTAACCAATAAAACAACACATATACAGAAGGACATCCCACATTATCTCCTCTTTTCTATCTAATTGAAACGGAAGGTTTTAACTTTAACATAATAAAATTATATATAAATAACAATTATCAAGCAAGAATTATAGTTACAGTATTTCGTCCATTTACATTTGGCAAATTAAGGAAAATATTCTAGCATCTATCCTATCTTTGTGAGTGTAAAGTTTTATATCTAATAACTATATGTCTTCAACTCTTCAAAGACCTCAGAAGGATACATTACCCAACTAATCAGGAAGTGCATTGTAAGCAACCCCCAAAGTTCTAGAATTCAAAGAGACATCTTGCTGCCTGGACAGACACCCAAAGTTCTTCCGGAACATTGGGACATCCATCTTCAGCCTACAGGCCCATAGTATCCAGCAGACTTTTCCATGAAGCAGGAAATTTGAAGATCTGTTCTTCCTTGTAATGGCATAGTCCATCAGTTGCTTTCTTCTGTGTCCTATAAAATGTCTGACAGTCTCTTTCATGAAGCAGGAACCCTGAAGGACCATCCCATCTTTTGCAAAGCTCAGTGGTCACTTTTCTGTGGGTCCTGCATATCCAGTTCATATGTCATACCATCACTCAGTCCAGGCAATAGCAGTTTCTTACCCAAATGGCTAGCCTTGTCACATTTAAGGCAAATTCCATAGCAAGTTTCTTCAATGCCCATCAACCTCTCGGAAGTAATTGGTGCTGCCAGAAGCAGACATGTATCACTGTCAAGAAAAATTCTTAAAACATTTTAAATGCTATATTCTGTAGGTCTTTGAAGTGCCGAAGATTATCTATCTAACTGAAATATATCTCTGTATATCTAGAAAGCCTAACTAACATGACTACAAGTTTGACTATTATAAATGACTATTAATTTATAATTTTTAATTATATATTATATTTTTGAATGAGCTCTATAAACATACTACCTTAAACAAGAATAGGAATACACATACAACAAAATTGACCTTAAATTTGTATCAGTAAACCAAAGTCCATACCAATGTAAAGTATTCATTTCTATATCTTATCCCCCTTTAAATGAAAATAAACATTTATAAACAATCATTTTGGGAATGTGTTGTTGCCTCCAAACTGCTTTGTGCTATTTCTTGGGCAAAATTTTTTTAGGGTTCACAGAGACCATTCAGGGGGGTCTTGT